AAATATTCAAGAACCGCCGGTTCCATTTAGCGAGTAGGTTCGGTTCGGGTATACCAAGTTTCGAAATAGGAACCAAACCTTACCCACCCCGTTTGAAACGGGCCGGTTCGGTCCGAGTCCTCGTTTTTTTTTTGTAAAAAAAATATGACTATGCAAGCAAAATTTCTAGTGAGTTATAAAATTCACAAATTATTACGTATTGATGTAACCATAATATAGTAAAAATTCAAAATAAAAGTATAAGACGACATTTTAAATTAGTTATAAAAACATCGAACCACAAATTTATAAATTAAACACACACAACCACATTAATTAAAATGTAAATCCTCATTCATAAACCAATTAAAAAGATAGGACCATAAATTTATAAGAAATTAAACTAGTTATTATACATATTTGTCTATTAAAATAGTTTAAAGCTTATTAAATCTTCCAAGTAAAATTAAGATAACTAAATGAATAAGTCACACTTCATTGAATAAGAGTCTTTGTTTACAAAAAATATTAAAGAAAGAAAGTTTGATGCATTTGGAATAGAGAATAGAGGAGAATAATTTAGGAGTTTAATTATACGGACTTGGAAACTAGTTTTAATAGATTGAGAAGTTTCTTTAATTAAAAGTCTTTGTCTAGACACAAGAACATGAAGAGCTTTCGTGTGTTGTTAGTATATTACTACGTATATTAATAATAGAGATTATTAAAATAATATTGGTTAACCAATATTTCGGTTAACCATTAACGATTAACCAAGAAACCGTAAAATTAAACCATGAAAGGAATATATGAACTTGTCAATACTTTTGAACTTATGTTTTGAATTGACCTCCATAACAAACTATTGTACGTACCGTGGACAAAGTTTGTTCAAATTGGCTATGTAATAAACTATTCATAGTTATAGTTTGGCACTTTGACTTACTCTATATGCTTATTTATCTAATAATACCAACGTATATACTACTTCAATATTCATGATACCGGCCAATAATAATAATAATAATTCATATACCTGCCAATAACGTAGCATATAATGATACAGTTGATGACTTTGATTCCATATGAAGTACAATTAGGATTTTTATTATTCCGTGGCAGCAGAGGGGAATTGGGGAAGCACAGCGCAGCATGCTACAAAAATTATAGTACGGAGTATTATTTGAATCGTACCATAAATAATTATTGGTTAACCGTTCCGCGAGTTTTAAAAAGTTCAATACAGTTAATCGAAAAATACCTTGGTTTATCGGTTTTTTTATACGGTTAATCGGTTTTGATTTTTTGTCCACCCCTATGCACACGGTACAGACGAGCTTTTTATCTTACAGTGATAAGCGATAGCAAGCTCTAGCCACGAGCTCCTAGCAACAACGATGACAGACGACCTCCCGCCATGAGTGATTGGCAGTAACCAACGGCGGCGGACGTAGATCTAGGAGGCGGGTCGGCGACTGACCTCCAATATCAGCGCCTAAATCGACAGAGCTGTTTGGCGAGTTCTGCCTAGACAAGTCCCAAGCATCCTCCAATGACAAACCGACAAGTGATAGACCAGCATGTTACTGCAATTGGTAAAAATATAAGTTCTTTTCCTTATATCTTAATATAAGTTCCATTGATATCTTAATATAAGTTCTTTTCCTTAAAAAAGTTTTTAGCATGGCTACAATATTTCATACTCCGTATTTCAAGTCAAAATTTTGAATTTTTATCATAACTATGATCATTATGTACTTCTGTTTATTATGAAACTTTTAAAAAAGTTAATATTTTTGGTAAACTAGCCCCTATTTTTTAGTATTTGCAAATATACCCCATACGCCTTGTTCTTAGTCATGGACCCGGGCCGGGCCAGTTCCGGTTCGGGCCTGGGCCCGTCCGGGCTTTTTTTTGGGGAAGGAAGAACCGGAACCGGCCCGGGTAGGCAGCGGTTCCGGGTCGGGTCGGGCCGGTTTATGTTATTTTTTTTAATTTCTTTTACTTTTCTATTTAACCCCCGACCCCCCTCCCCTCACCCCCACTCCCCAACCCCCCTCCCCCCCAAAACACTCAGACCAACCCGGGAGAAAAAAAAAAAAAAGAAATAGGTTGGGCCGGTTCCACTTTTAGGAGACCCGAGCCCGCCCCGTTTAACTCCCGGTTCCGGGTGGCCAGGACCGGTCCTATGACCGGGTACCGGGTCGGGCCGGGCCCAAACATTACCGGTTCCGGGGCGGGCGGCCCGATCCGAGTCCATGACTAGCTACTTGTTCTATTTTTCCAAACTTCCGTATCCACCGTACCTATCTATATTAACCAACATATCTACTTATAACTTATCCACTCGGCCGGTATGTGTGCAACATATAGAAGATTATTATCAAATATGGAGTATAATCTTGTTTACATAAGGGACATTACGGTAATTCTCCAATTATTGGAGCATCATTCCTTTCAAATTGATGTTTCAATCTTTTTTCGTCATTTAAATAGATCTCCCCATTTTTTATTCTATTGAAGATTCTTTTTTGAATTGAATTAAAAACTTGTTCCCACGGAACCCTATCCTCTATAGTCATCTATATTAAAATTATTACGGAGTAGTATATACTCCGTATTATATACACCCCAAATGAATTCTTGAAGATAACTGGGCTTTTATCTTCAAGAATTCATTTGAATGCCTCCCCGATTGAAGTTTTAGCTGAAATTTGGTATGAGTAAACTAGACTTAATGAATAAGATGCTCAAAAAATTTCATAAAAAAATCCACTGGAAACCGCCCCAAATGACGACGTCTGGACAGAGCCTCCTATATAAAGGCTTATTTGACCTTTTTATGTAAGTTTGATGGCCTATCTGACCCTTTTCTCAATTCTAAATTGCCGATATATATAATATATACTACCCAATAATTATTACTACGTATTTTCTATTGCTAAATCAACATGCGAAATTGAAAAAGCGTACAAGATATTAATTTAGTCTTAGGAATCTTTCAACCAAGCATTCCAGTCCAGCTGGTTGTGAAGTTACTGTGTCTAGTGGGAGGTCTCGAGTTCGAATCCCGCTAGGCACTCAAGGGTTGGAAACTCAATGGAGTGAGTTTCAACCCTAATTACTCCAGGTTCCCCCCCAGCCCCCTTCCCCCAGACCCCCCCCCCCCACCCCGGAGTAAAAAAAATTAAAAAAAAAGTCTTAGGAATCTTTCTAAATCCTATAAATTGATTATGTGATATCTTGTGGAGTTTTTATGAAAGGGACGATTTAAAAAGTTTTCTGTGGGGGAACAAAATATCTCTAACCCCCACCTCAAATAGATTGTTTTTTTATACAGTAGGCGTATAAATGTCAAAATGTAAGTTATTACCTGGGGTTGACTTTAAAGGAAGTTATTATCTCTCAATTACATCGACCAATGGTCTCAACAAGTACTAGTATTCTAACCCCTTATTGCTATTTCCCGGGAAGGTCTTATATGGGTTTGAAGATTTATCGTGAAACGTCTGATATATGATAATCAGATGGAACAACTACGATATTGTACAACTAGCACCATAGTTTGTTGCTAAACCTTATCATCACTGATTATCGATCACTGATCCAATTTGAGTACCTACATGATAGACCTCAACAGAAAACTAAAGAGTAACGACAACAAGTGATTGAGTTCAATAGTTCCTCATATCAAATTACTTGGTGTAATTTCTTATATAGGGCGGGGCGTGTGTGGGAATTTAGTTTTCGTCTGGGTATGCGCTCTTGGATTGCGGTTGCATACTCCGCTCCACTCGCAGCTGCTATCACAATTTTCTTAATCTGTCCAATTGGTCAGAGAAGTTTTTGTAATGGTATGCATGCCCCAGGACCTTCTTGATCCACATACTCCTTGCACCTCAACAGGCCCAATAGCTACAATCGGCCCAAAGCAGCCACTGGACACTCCTCATGCATACAGACCAGATCATTCCCATCTTCGGGCAAGCCCTCATGAAACAGCCCTCGGTCCCCAGAGTGAAGCCCTCGACCTCGGCACAAAGAGATTCTTAGCTCACGCATCCCAACGGCCAACCACGTCACGTGCCCACATCTGCTTCAAGTCAGTGCTCTCCATCATATACTAGCTTACATGTGTATGTGAATTCTAATGCATTTAATATTTATGACTAGTATAAATAGCAGTCCCTTAGACAGTTGTAACAGTTTGAATATTCATTAATATGGTTGCTCTCTCCCCCTCTCCTACTTAATAGCTCTGTCTTGTGACTCTTGTCTCTATATAGCACTAATAGCATGCCGATGTTAGCTATTTGTCAGTAACTTTGAAAAAAAGATGGTCATTTTCAAAGATAATAAATAAATCTTTATGATATTTCGAGAATGTGACATTTTTTACGTAAGATGATATTTTTTATGGCAATTGGACCGGTGGTGCTGCTAGGTGCAGGGTGCGGCGGCAGAGGCCTACATATATTAATATTTTCACATTTTTAATATTAATATATGGAAAAATTGATTATAATAATCCCAACTATTGGCGGTCCGCTTATAATAATCTCAACTATCGATTATTTCAGAAAAATCTCAATTTTAGGGACCTTCCGCCAATAATAGTCTGACGTGACCGACTATAAATAAATTCTTATAGCTTCTAAAAAGATATAGCAGGTAATCCCTATAAATAATCCCAAATTTTAATTATTAAGCTTTATTTCTATTAAAAATTCACCTGTTATGACAGGTAATATGCAGTCATGGACCATTATTGACGGACGGTCCATATAGTTGGGATTATACAAAAATAATCAATAATTGGGATTATTGTTAGCTGACCGGCAATAGTTGGGATTATTATTTTTAATTTTTCCTTGATATATTAATATTTTTATTATTTTTATATTTTATTATAAATAAAATTATGATTTTATAATTAATAAAATAAATACATTAAAGATTATAGGAAGAAGCATAATAGGTAGAGGGACATATATTACGTTTACTTTGGAAATAAAATGCATTTAATATAAGAGTAATATTAGTCTTATTTACTATTTAGTGCATTTACATCATTGATTTGAACGAATTGGAGAAGTGCATAAACAAATTAATGCGGTGGCTGTCCGTCTAATAATGTATATATATGGGGGGCATGCGAATGTATATATACTGCTTGATCATTCTCTATGCTACAGAGCGACAAATTCTGAGTAAGGTATACAGAATGATAGAAACAGAGATGCATGAACACAACAGCTTGAATGATGGTGGTGATGATGACACGCCCCCTTCCTCCACCTCCCTCATCTTCAGTTCTTTCGCCGCCGCCGCCGCCGCCGCCTCTCCCTTTGATTCACCCGAAACTACTCCGGTCATAGGTTTTATCGATGGTTGTGTTTTTCCAGCCTGTTCTATAGATCGCGGCACCTCCCTTGTTACCTTCTCCACCTGTCACAAATGGTTCACAATTTCTCATCTGTTAAATCTAAAATGATTTGTACTTTTCTATATTTTCAATACAAAAATATGCTAGCTAACTACCAAGATTCAAGATTTGGAAGATGAAATGTCAATGAGAATAGTTTTAGGGGAGATTGTGTTCAATGTAGACATCTTAAAATCACTTTTTTTGAATTTTTAAAAATTTAAAAGCACCCGTTTGGTGACCATGTTTTTTAGTCTTATCAGTCGTTCAAATTTTAAATTGATCAATTTTATCTTTCAAAGTTCTTGGTAAGTGATGTATCTTCTAGTTCCTAATCGATAAACTTTTTACGAACTCCTTGATTCAAAAAAGAAAATCATTTCTAGTGGAAAACGCAACTTAGTCTTCATATGATACCAAGTAGTAATACTCAGTACCTATAACCTTGAACGTCTTACCAATTTCCTCATATGGAGGTTGTAGAAAAGCTCAAGGTACTGCTGCTTTGCATGTTTTTCCCTGGAGTGCATCTCCCTCCAGCATCTGTATGTTGATCCCATGTTCAACACTTTCTCGGCATAAATCTTCCATGTAAAACTGCAAAGCAAATATACGAAACTAAGGTTTGGTTTCCTTGTAGTATGGCCGAATCAACAAGCTGGCCAAATGACCATTCTTGTTTTGATGGATGGATGTATATATTTTGTTACCATTCGTTTATGCGCTCTAGAGCTTGGGAAGATATCATGTCCCAATAAGATCCATCAGACTTGCATTTCTCAAAGAAGCCGACAATCTTATTGCTTGACTCGTCCCCGTTGTAAGGATCAATATGAAAGCCTGAGACACCGTCCACAATGATCTCTGCGGGACCCCCTTGGTTGGTAGCAAATGTGGGAAGCCCACAGTTCATTGCCTCAATCACGGTTAACCCGAAAGCTTCATACAAAGCGGGCTGTATGAATGCACCCCTTGTGTCTGCAATGGTTCTGTATAGCTCACTGTTTCTGTTTCTGTCTGTTTGGGCTGCTATCCATCTTATTTGTCCATTGAGGTTGTACTTGGCTATTAAATCGTGCATCTTCTTGATTTCTGAGGCTTCTTCTCTGTCTTTTGATTTTGATGGATCGAAGAATGCCCCCACGATCACAAGGTTTACTAAGTCTCTCAGTTTGCTATTCTTCCCATACCATTCTGTCAATCCTGTTAGATTCTTTACTTTGTCTAGCCTTGCCATTGAGAAGATTATTGGTTTCTTCTTGTCCTCCAAAGTCCCACTTTTGGAAATTCAAGAAAAAACTAACCTTTAGTATGAAAGTAGGTGTTTAATTTCAGGACTGATTCAGCATAGCCCATTGTAGAAACTAGAAATGCAGAATCTTAGAGAAAATAGCTTAAGTCTGTTTGGTGTTTGTTCGTTTCAAATCTGAACCTTAAATGGAAAAATAAACAGCCTATGTGGTATAGTTGGATCAGTTGAGGTCCATGTGCTTTTTTGTCAGTTCTGTGTTGGTTGGGTCGATCGATTTTAAAGCCTAAATAGGAAACCATATGTGTTTGGTTCGGTTTGTGTCAGTTTGGTTTTTTTTAAGTTAACCAGATCCATGTCAATTATATGAGGGTGAGGTAAGTTAGGTTGACTTTAATCAGTTTTGACTTGTCGAGTATTCCTAACTCTAAGTAGTGTAATAACTCATAAATGAACATGTTAAGACGTTATCAATGCAATATTGAAATGATCAATTTCAGCGGTGAGTATGTACTAGACTCGGCCCATGGAGTAGATGTGGGGTCAGACCTGATGGGCTGAACCCACGCCTACTCTATGGGCTGACTCCCATCAAGAATTCATTTACAAAGAACTTTCATCAGAATAAGATTAGATTATCATATTATAACATTATATCCATATTAGGACTCACATGTGTTGATCAGTATCCCCGTTCTTGTAAAGTAAATCCTCAATTTCACTATGAAATGAGGTGAAACGTTGCTCCTTGTGCGCGAATGAGAAGTAGACGGACTGATCTGCTCCAGGGGCCACTATGTTGAACTTGGGATCAAAGACATTGATGCCAGAAACTACTCTGCATAGGCCTGGCATTGTAAAGGCCTCATGGCTCTCATACTGTCCCGGTTTTGCTTTGCTGCAATTAGTCAATAAAATTAGTTTTGGACGCAGAATTTCCATTATCCTCTATAAAAATGTCTCAAATAAAACAAACCTTCCAGCAATTTCTTGATATGTGCTGGCAATGACAAAATCAGAGGTATTCATTGCTATCAAGTCTGCGGTGAATTGGCAAGAGAAGTGGTACTTTGGATCAAAGTGTTTCCACTTGGCATCAGAGTCTTCATATTTTGTTTTCTCCAATGCATGAGCAATTGTTGCCTATTTAGTACTCTTTAATCAAATCTCTCTTTTCCAAATTTTACTATCAACTGAATAAATATCTTAAGGCCCATTTGAAAGTTGAAACATGAAAATGCTACGGAGAGAAAATAGAGAGGAAAATGCAGGAAAAGCTTGGATGAGTAGAAAATGTTAAATGCTGGTTCAAAATCATTATGCTTATTTATAACATTTATTTTGAATTCATCTTTTTATTCATATGTTTTATATTGATACTAAGCAATTGAAACATATCTAAAAAGATTAGAAATATTATAAATTTATAACTGATTTTACTATGTAACTTCTAGGTAAACCAAAACACAAAAGAACAGCTTTTCTTAACATTTCCTTCCCTTTCCCTGGCCTTTTCCAGGATCCGGACATAGCCTCAAGAGTCTTGAAGAAATAATAAACTACTTATGTTTTTTGACTAAACCTGTGTAACTCCAAGTTTGGTGGACATGAGAGAGGCAACCAAGTTCCCATCAGTGTAGTTTCCAATTATGAGGTCTGGTTTACCTTCCATGGTCTCAACAATCTTGGCAGTAGCATCCTGTTATATGAGACATAAAACTATATTTACAATGTGATTAAGGCTACTCAATCCCAAATAGAGCCAAAACACATACTAAAAGGGTTATTCCTATCTAGCAAAAAGTGCTTACATGGGAAAACCTCTCCAAATATGGGTATATATCAAATCTAGAAACCCATTGCTGCAGAACCTCTCCATTGTCTGATCTAAACGGGACCCGAAGAATGTAAGAATGTGATGTGCCGAATATAGGCTCAACCTCCTGGTTGCACTTAGTGCCTCTTGCATCTGGTATAAGCCGAGTCACCTGCCCACCGATCAAGATTAATTTCAATGTTAGTCCTCTTCAGATGTTTCTTCATGACCTCTCAAATTTTGTAATGAAAAAACACTTACCACAAGAATCTTGGGTTTAACATTCAATCCTTGCATCCTAATTCTCAGCAGCATTTCTTTCTCTAAGGCTCTTACTTGATCCAGAATATAAACCACCTATATGATTTGGTATGAGAATGTCTTACATGTTTCTTTTGTGTGTATTTTCTATATATGGTCGATGTGGGATGAGTTAACAACTAGGAAAATGAAAAAATATGGTGATTATTGGGACAGACCTGGCCTCCGGTGTCAGGCAACCCAAGAACGTCTTCTTGGCCAAAGTAGCCGTGAATCGATAAGATCACAATGTTGAATACAGAAGGCACCCTGCTGAATAATGACTCGGTGCTTATGGGGTCTGGTGCTTGGAGAATTTCAGAAAGTAGTGTCATTGTCTCCCTAACTCTTTCTGCATTTTCACCCCATCCTTTCTCAAAGCCCATTTCTCTTAACCTGCAAATTTGAACAATATGAGTCCCCACAGAACTGTTTAGTCCGAGTATGGTATATTACAGTTTACTAGTTACTTAATGGATTTAACCTTGATACCGGCTTAATTATTTACGACTTACTCAATTTGCCAAAACCTCACTTACTTCTTCAGCTATGACATATTAGTACTAGTATATTACTGATTCACTTCTCATTCAGCAGCCCATGTAGCCAATATTTTTAACGAAACCATCATAATGTATGTTAATAAGTGAGAATACTTTTAAAACAACTTTAAATTGTTTGTTTTAACTTCTTAAATGTTTATTCAGCACACGAAGTAAAATGTCTCTGACACAAAAACGCTTAATACATATTGGCGTCTTAATCCCGATAGAACTTAATGTAAAAAGAGTAAACAGCCCCTAAGAGAATCTTGTATAAACGCAAGAACACAAGTCTACCCAAATACCTGAATAAGCAATTACATAGATGCTAGTGTGCATGATATTGGGCTAAATTTGAAACCAACAAGAGTAAGTAAGAAAGAAATAAATAAATACTTGGACTCAAAAGTGTTGTAAGGCGTGTCATTCGGATAAAGAGATACATAATGTTCAGCATTGATCAACGCCTTCTGAAGCTTGGCGACTGTTCCAACAGTTTCATTAATCATAAGCTTCTGCAAAAAACATATCAACCCTTTCTTTTGTGTCAAATAGTAATTATTGAAATTTTAAAAAATGAGATAATAAAAGAGATAAGAAAAAGATTCAAATCATCAAAGCCTGGTCGGTATTAGAAACCTCGCCACAATGATTAAGAGATAGAAGGTAGTCAAGCAAAGGCTTTGCATCCTCAAGCTTTCTACCAAATCTAGAAGCCATGAGTCTTGAGATAAAGGTGAGCCCCTTTCCAATGGAACCAGATAGTGCTAATCGAGGATAAGCATAGTCGAATGCCCCAAAATCAACTTCTAACGCATTTTCATCCTTGGCCCTGGTTATGTGCATTGCATCAACTTTGGAGTAACAGTATAATATCTTATATGTTGGTTTGTATTCATATTTCTATGTTCTGTGTAAATTGATCCCTTAACATTTGTTATTGTAAGTTAAAGATGAGGTGAGAAAAGGGTGGGGGATCCCAAAAGTACCAGTTTTCATCAAACACCATTTCTTTGAAAGTTAAATATTGCTTGCTGGTGATTCTTTCTACAGACAAGTCCATAGCATTAACTTTGAAGTAGTCCCAACTTCCCGGGCTGTGTCGATATGAAAATGCAACATTATGCGGCACAACAACAGCCTCCTGAAATGGTTACACATCAAGATGGTTTATTTTCTTCTTTTTTATTTTTTATAGGATGCTTACATATGGAAATCATAACTAGTTCACCTGCGCAGAACTCAGGATCTTTCCCAACTTTCCCTCCAAAAAATTGGTTCTTTCCTCTTTGTTCGGCACTGTTTGATATATCTCTTCTGATAAATCTTTCATCTTCATGAGCCTCTTTCCGGAGATGAGCCTTCATATTCAATCCAGTTTTATATTTACAAATGAAAACATACCAAGACTAGGTCTCTATGCTAATATTGATATTTAAGGCTTTGTACGTTGGTTTGTAACTTAATTTGTACACAAAGAATATGATAAGAAAGGCAAATAGTATGGCACCTGGTAAAAAAAATCTTCGCATGAAACTTGTTCTGCCCGATGCCACCAAGCATGTCATTTACCACATTTGAAGCCATTTTGAAACTATGATGACAGTAAATCTGTTTGGTAGCACAAAACAGAGATGGGTAAAGCTTTTTTACTTTATTTGAGACTTTTGCATTTGAGCAATGAAGGTGGTAAGGCTTATATAGGGAGGGGGAAAACAGAAGGGAGTTGTGTAGTGAAGTTGGAATGTGCAACTCCATGGAAATATATGAACAACTACACAAGGAAGATAATGAACATTCCTTTGTGCTTTGGGGGAAGGCAAAACTGAGACAAAGAAAGGAATTTCTAGGATGAAAGCAAATTATGGAATGTCACTTGCCTTTGAAAAGGCAGCAAGTACTATGATTTAATACCATGGACGAGAAAGGATTTATTCTTTTCTTTTGAGTTGACTTGTAATGTTGTTTTTTTGGCAAAAACTTGTAATGTTGTTAGATGCAGCTTAGCCGTTCATACCGATTTTATTAAGATCACGACTGCTTCTCTGTCCTACTTTCCATTTTAGAAAATAATAAATACTCCTAAGTAACCATTTAATCATTAAATATTTAAAATAATACTATTCGCCCCATTTTATGTATCCTTTGACACAATTATTAATAAAGTAATTTTAAAAGTAAAAGTAGTGGTTGAGATTTTAATATAACTAAGTGAAATGTTATAGCCAACATACTTCTTTCTTAAAAAATGTGATACCTACTTTGGGATAATAAAAAACAATAAAATAAATAAAATATAACGGAGGGAGTACATTTATAACATCACAACTATCATCAATAACTCATTATAGCATATACTCATCAAAATTTCTCCAAATATACTGGAATTAACATATTTATTTATTATCTAAATAATTGTGTCATTTTGCAATGTGAACCTTTGAACGGGACAAAGCTAAAAGAAGTAAAAAGAGAAGGTCAAAATTTATACATTTAGGATGTTTGATTGAACTATATCTAGTAAAAAAAGAAAGTAGAACAAGTAATTAATTAAAAAAATTAATATAAGAGTGTGAAACATAGTTTTAACATACTTTTATGCTCAAACGCAAAACTATTACTCCATCAGTCTCATTTTATTTGTTTTGCTTTGTTTTTTGGTTTGTCCCAAAATAAGTGTCATATTTCTTTTTTTTGGAAAGAAATATGTGTTCTACAACATTTCATTTTATTATACTTTAATTTCAACGTCAACTTCTACGTTTTCAAACCACTACTAATAATTGTGTCAAACCAAAACAAAACTATTCAAGCTTTGCTTCAAATGGACAAAATTAATAGTGAGGGTTACATCACATTGAATTATGTAAAGTTAAAAGGTTATTCCTTCTACGATAGTATATATTAAGGTTCAAATGAGAATCATACTTAACGGGAGAACTGCAATTTTAAGCAGATGTGATGCATTATATCATGTGGATGAAATATTTAGGAATCTGCCACCATATTTATTTAATATTAGCATGTTTTGATCAAAATTTAAAAAGTGCAATAGATGAGCCTCATAGTGCACCGAGATGTGTTAAAAGTGTATGGTTGTCACGTTCTCACCGAGATGTGTTAGAAGTGTATGGTTGTCACGTTCTCACGTTAAACATGGTTCTCATTGGAACCGCTTCATATGTATACATACATACATACATACATACATACATACATACATACATACATACATACATACATACATACATACATACATACATACATACATACATACATACATACATACATACATACATACATACATACATACATACATACATACATACATACATACATACATACATACATACATACATACATACATACATACATACATACATACATACATACATACATACATACATACATACATACATACATACATACATACATACATACATACATACATACATACATACATACATACATACATACATACATACATACATACATACATACATACATACATACATACATACATACATACATACATACATACATACATACATACATACATACATACATACATACATACATACATACATACATACATACATACATACATACATACATACATACATACATACATACATACATACATACATACATACATACATATATATATATATATATGGGAACTTTTCCGGTAAGGTATACCTTACCGGAGCCTCCATACGGCCTCCACGTTTTGAGGGCCTTCCCGGTGAAATTTTTTGATGAAATATTTTTAGCATGTTCTTCATCAAGTCTAGTACATTCATACCAAATTTCAGCAAAAAATTCAATCGGGAAGGCACTCAAATGATTTTTGGAAGATAACTGCACCCTTTATATACATATAAACGCAGTTATCTTCCAAAAATCGTTTGACTGTCTTCCCGATTGAATTTTTTGCTTAAATTTGGTATGAATGTACTAGACTTGATGAATAACATGCTCAAAAGAATTCATCGGAAAATTCCACCGGTAAGGTCCTCAAAACGTGGAGGCCGCACGGCGGCTCCGGTAAGGTATACCTTACCGGATACGAAATTGCACTAAAAATGGTTTTATGTTGCATTAATATTTAAATTTTGCAATGTTGCACTAAAACTGTTTCATGTTGAACTAATATTTGACGGCGTTGCACCGAAATAGCTTCATGTTGCACTAGACAAGTGTAATACGGATTGTTCAGAACTATTTACAGAAATGCCACCGTGTTAGATTGCATATTTCAGTGCATCATGAAGTGTCTTTTATTGCAACTTAGTCGAATCCAATGGCTGAGATTCATTCTCACTTCTCACCTAAAGGATTCTTCTCACCTAAAGGGTCCTTCTCACTTGGTTCAAGTGAGAAATGCATCTAATGTGAGAAATGAGAATGAATCTCAGCCGTTGGATTTCCGATTTTGCACTGAAAATAGCTTGGTGTTGCAGTAAGATTTTTTTTTGCAGTGTTGCACTAAAACTGTTTCATATTGCACTAAAATTTGACGACGTTGAACCAAAACAGTTTCATGTTGCACTAGATGACTTTAATACGGATTTTTCCGAAAATGCCACCAAAGTGGGTTGCATATTTTAGTGCAATATAAAGTGTTTTTACTGCAAAATAGTCGAATCCAACGGCTGAGATTCATTCTCACTTCTCACCTAAAGGGTTCTTCTCACGTGAACCTTACCCTATAGATTTTGGTTCAAGTGAGAAATGCATCTAATGTGAGAAATGAGAAAGAATCTCAGCCATTAGATTTATGAAGTTGCTAGGGGTGCAAATGAGCCGAGCCGCTCGTGAGCCGCTCGGTCAAAGCTCGGATCGAGATCGGTCAAACTCGAGCTCGAGCCGAGCTGGCTCGTTAAGCAGTCGAGCCATAAACGAGCCTACTGATTTTAGGCTCGCGAGCCTAGTTATATGTGTGTGTATTTAATTAATATATGTAATATATTAATATACAATACAAATTAATATATAATACGGAGTATATATTAGTATATGCAATATATAATATAAATTAGTTTTTTTATAAATTAATATATATATAATACTAATTCATGAATGTATATGAGAACTGGGGAGATATTATTAATTAAAAAGTAATTTAACAAAAATAATCAAAATTTCATCCACTATTTCTTAATGGGTTGACCACTTTTGATTTATATTAGAAATACAATTGGATGGAGACGTAAAGTTAGAATTGTATTTTGTTTATTTTCCCGTAAGGTTTAGTTATTGGGCTTGTAAATTGCAATTTGCAAATGTTAAGCACAAATATTTAAAGATTGTTTCATACTTTAGCTCGAGTTCGAACACGAACTTTTGAGCTAATCGAAATTGTAACTTTTGAACGAACCAAAATTATTTAGCCGAACCGAGCCGAGTCGAGCCAAATCGAGCCGAATCAATATTTGCGAGCCAATCTCGAGCCCGGATTTTTTAAGCTCGTTCGAGCTCGAGCTCGAGCTCGAGCCAATACAATATAATTCGAGCTCGAGCCTACATAAACTCGAGCTCAGCTCGACTCGGCTCGTTTGCACCCCTAGCAAGTTGCACTAAAAATGGCTTTATGTTGCAGTAATATTTAAATTTTGCAATGTTGCACTAAAACGGTTTCATGTTGCACTAATATTTGACGGCGTTGCACCTAAATAGCTTCATGTTGCACTAGACAAGTGTAATACGGTTTTTTCAGAAGTATTTACAGAAATGACACCGTGTTAAATTGCATATTCCAGTGCATCATGAAGTGTCTTTTACTGCAATTTAGTCGAATCCAATGGCTGAGATTCATTCTCACTTCTCACCTAAAGGGTTATTCTCACTTGAACCTTACCCTAATGTGTGTGTGTGTGTGTATGTGTGTATATATAGAATTAGGTTCAAGTGAGAAAATGATCTTAGAAGAGAAATGAGAATGAATCTGGACCATTAGATTGTATTTTGTGATATTGAATATGCATTGAGTGAAACTGAAATGTGCGAAACTGAAATGTGCACTAGGTGAAACTGAAATGTGCAGAATAAAAACTACGATGTTGTGGTATTTTTGTGTCTTTTATTCTGCACATTTCAATTTCACGTAATGCACATTTGAGTTTTACTTTTCATTCTGCACATTTCAAATTCATATATATATATATATATATATATATATATATATATATATATATATATATATATATATATATATATATATATATATATATATACTACCTCCGTCCCTTAAAACTTTGCCATGTTTGACCGGCACGAGGATTAATAAAGTAAAAACTGTGTGGTTGAGGTTTGTGCAGAGGAGGGAGAATTAACTGGAACCACAAATTCATTACTTAAAAGGGAAAGTGGCAAAGTTAGTGGGACATCCAAAAAAGGAAAGTTGGCAAATTCATTACTTTTCATCCAAAAAAGGAAAGTCGGCCGCCTCCGTTTGGGGCGGTTCCCGGTGGATGTTTTTGATGTAATTTTGTTAGCATGTTCCTCATCAAGTCTAGTTTATCCACAAAATATTTCGGCTAAAAATTCGATCGGGAAGGCAGTTAAATAAGTTTTGGAAAATAGCTGCGTTTTATAAGTATAATTTGGCGCAGTTAGCTTCAAAAATTTATTTGACTGCCTTCCCGATCGAATTTTTAGCTGAAATTTTTTGTGGATAAACTAGAATTTATGAGGAACATGCTCAAAAAATTTCATCAAAAAAATTCACCGAGAACCCCCCAAA